TTCAAATTTGCAACTAATGAAATCAGAACTCGTACTGTATTCATCTTCGTTACTGGAGAAAAAGTTTCTTGATAATCAACACCATAAGTTTGAGTATAACCCTTTGTTACTAACCTTGCTTTATACCTATCTACCGATCCGTTTGCCTTGTACTTGATCGTAAATACCCATCTACACCCAACTGGTGTCTTGCCTTTAGGTAGCTCTGTTACCTCCCATGTATCATTCTTGTGCAGTGCCATCATTTCTTCATCCATTGTAGCAGCCCATTTAGGATCCTTCAATACCTCCTCAACTTGGGTTGGTGCTTGGATTGCTTCCACATTATTTACCCAGGCTTGGCGTTCCAATGCAAGGTTCTTGCATGACACACAATTTGCTATTAGATACTTTACTTTTGCTTCAGGAGAAAACCTGTTAGGAGGAACACCACGATTTTGCCTTATCGGCAACTTATACGTACTTATATCATTATTTGGATTAGTTACATGAGCATTTGTAATACTTACCTCAGGGATATTCAGAGAAGACAAATTGGGTGGCACTATCGAGAAAGAGAGGGTGATGTGGGTTCTGCAGACAGCACTTCTTCCCGTGAAGTCCTTGGTTCGACTATATGCTGCTGGACTATTATAGCTTCCTCAGCAGGACCTTGCCGAAAGTCTGCACTTGTCTCGGCATGCAGCAGCTGAAGGCCCATATCATTCTCGGCAGTTTCTTGCCGAGAGACTAGTGTCCCATTTTCATCTTTGTAGTCAACATATGCTCCTCTTGAACTACATACCACATCCTCTAGTACCTCTAACCACCCAAGATCAACTTGATCACCACTAGTGTTCTCTCCCTGGTGATCTGAAGGTGATGGGATCGAAGAATAAAAATACTCTGATTCAAAAAAAGTAACATCTATAGTTGCATACATATGTTGAGTTTCAAGATAATAACACTTATACCCTTTCTGTTGGGAGGCAAACTCAACAAAAACGCACCAAAGAGCACATGGATCCAATTTGCTACAATGAATCTTGTGAATATGAATATATGCTACACATCCAAACACATGAGGAGTAAGGGTATTAGTGGATACTACAGGAACATGTTCCGTCAATACTTGAAGAGGTATACGAAATTTTACAACCCGAAATGGCATAAGGTTAATCACATACACGACATAGGTAATGGCTTCAAGCGAAAAATGTTTAGCCATGGACGCACCAATAAGCAAGGCACGAGCAATTTCCAAGATATGACGATTCTTTCTCTTAGCAACCCCATTCTGTTGCGGAGTATACGGACAGATAGTTTGATGAATAATTCCACGATCTTGGAGAAACCTGGATAACTCAGAATTTATGTACTCTCCACCATTGTCAGAACGCAAAACTTTAATATCAATGGAATACTAAGTTTTAATCATCTGTTGAAATAGACGAAACACATCACAAACTCACTTTTATTTTTCAACATATACAACCACATCATACGAGTGCAATCATCCACGAAAGTAACACACCACCTAATTCCCAAAGTAGTACTAATAGGGGAAGGCCCCCACACATCAGAGTGTACTAGTGCAAATGGAGAAGATCTTCTATTCATAATTGGAGGGAATGAAGCAAGCAAAATGAAGGATACCTTACTATAACACAATCCAATTGTTCAGTGACTTGTGGTACAGACAATAAGTGATGGGACAACGACGGAACCAATAAACAATTATGTAACGGAAGTTAGGATGTAAGAGATATTGTTCCCGCTCCAACAACAACAACAACAGTAGTATCATTGACAGTTGCCGCACACTTTCTATGAGAATCTTTCATGGACTGAAACAAAGTTCCATCATACATCATATGATCCGTTGCACTGGAATCAAAAATCCAACTTGTATTTGCCATTTTAATAATACACAAAATGAAAATCATAGGTACACGGCAATCACAACACCCTACTAATTACGGAACCACAAGTTGCAAGAACAAACAAGCAGCATCCTTTTCTTTTTCCTTCTTTTTATTTTTTTATTTTTTTTTATTTTTTTATTTTTGTGTGTTGCAACCAAGTTGCGCAAAAGGAAAAGGGGTTGCAGCAAACAACTACACGCTGCAATCCTTTCCAAGGATTATCCACGGCACAAGAAAAAAAGTCTGCAATTATGTAGCAATTACCCACCCACGGCAGAATTGCAGCAGCCACTCATGGGAAGGCTGCAGACGGGCACACGGATAGCAAACAGATTGCAGTAGCAGAGCAATATTCCCATGAGGCACAATACGAAATATAATACACGGCACACTTGTATATAGAGTTCGGATCGAAACCAAGTTGTGCAACACAACCCTCACAGCAACAGCAAGGTACTGCGCTGCACTAAAGAAATTCACGGCAGCAGGTAGACAACGTGCTGCAATCCCACGATACACGACCTGACCAATTTCTGCACAACAGCGTAGGAAACCAATCTACCGAACGCAGCAGCGGAAGACAAAAAATATTGTTTTATGGTTTCTAGGGTTACAGCAGCTTGGCTCTGATGCCAAATAGAATTTTATGGCTTAACTTTTTTGTATTCCACAATTCTGAATAAAAGGTATATACAATCCTTGTTACAAAAGGAAACGAAATAAAGGACACAATATCCTTCTTAAAACATGACTCTAATAATTACAAAATATTTACATTCATTTTTTCCTAAATATTGACTTATTCCAATAGCTACAAGAGAAAAAGAAGCAAAAAAAATAAAAAAGTAGTAAATAAAATAATCGAATCTGAGAATATCCAAACTATATAACATACAATTTCAGTAGCTATTATTAAGACAATATCAATAGTCATCAGAGATGACTTGACAGCTTCAGGAGACCAGTTTGGATGGAATGATTTTACGTATGTAGATGCTGCAGCAGCGTGGGGGCACGACAAAGCGGTTCTAAACAACATATTGTATTTTACACGCCTCTTGTCTTCAGAACTTGGTGTGCGAGAAGAAACAGCAGACTATGCAGCGACAATTTCCACCCCCCGGGGCAGTTATATCAGGCTGAAATACATTATAATAATGCAGAATGCAATTGTTATTACTGTATGTACAAAATAAGACAGATAGCAGAAAGTGAGACGAAACAAGTACGTTAATAATATTGTTCAAAATATCATTAGGTCCACGCCCAGAGAAGTAAGCAAAAGTAGGTGCAGCGGGATCTTTTACGAATTCACTTTTGAATATACTTGCTTGAGCTTGAGGATCTCCATAAAATAAGAGGAACGAGAGCAGTTAAGACAATTCCCTTATGATTACCCAAAAGAATTTGCACCTAGTGGAACTCGTGTAGGACCTGACCACTTCATAATCTTCCTTCATCAATATTGTAGCCGGTAATATGGGAGCTCGAAAAAGATCATTATATTTTCCGTAGGAATTAAGTAAAACTGAATCAAGTGCTCCTGCTCTGCGTGCCTCAATATCTCCAGTTTCGTCATCGCATACCACTATTTTTCCCTTAACAGAATCATTGTCCAGGCAACCTTGTTGACAATCTCTGAAATGCAGAAATAAATCAGCACGTCATAGGTTATAGTAATATTTATGTTGAGCAAAAAGAAATGGGGAAAAGAATTCACCCAGAGCAAATCTTCATTGAAGCATCCTTTCCATATATCAGAGTTGACCATGTTTCTTTGTCATAATTTCGATCTCGGTTGTTAATCATTGTGATTTAGGATTCAGAAAATTAGAATGTAATTCAATTTCATGTTACAGATTCCATCTCTGGTGGAATTTAGATGTTCTGTGCGACTGAAAACCATAAATGAAATGCTTCATTTCGGATTTCCGCCATTCCGATTTCTTTCTTTTCTTCGTTTGATGGATTCAGCAGGAATTTTTTGCTGTATGGAAATTTTAAAAGATCCTATGCCAAGTTGCCAACCACTTTGAAAGCAAATGGGACTGTTTGGACCCAGAGAAAATTCTTTCTCAGCAAGTGGAAGCTGTGAACTTTTTTACCTCGGCGCACAAGACATTGGATAAAGATGCTCTGCCGGCCAATGCCTGAGGCCATCTTTTCTGCTTCTTTTCACACGAAAAGAAGAGATTCGATTCCAGGAAGTTATGGCCATTAGTCGATAGAATTCGAAGAACAAAACGGAATCTCCATCAAAATCCGATATGCTTGTATTCCCTTTGCTTTTCTTTTATCAAAAGATAACCCTTCCTACATAGTATAATATGCTGTAGCCTTTCCTGCATCGTCACAACTCCAGAGTGCTTAAAGTTCAAGCTTCGTTGGAGCTTTGAATTCGAGTGAGCGTCGAGCCAATGGACAACCACTTCTGGCCATATGATACCACTTACGTTGTTGCCAGCAACGGTGAAAATCTGTCATCAGATGCAACATGGTATCCCTGCCCTTTCCTCAACCCCGTTTCTGCACAGGAGGAATATTTTCCAAGAAGTCCCTGGAATGGGAATGAGCTTGCTGAGGAGGCTTATGAGGACGAAGAGCTGTCATATTACGGCTGTGGAAACTGGCTAAGAGAATATCAACACTCGTTTGGTGACTGTTGGGGAGATGGCTACGGCGTTGCCAACGGAAATGGCAGCAATGAAGATGGAGCCGAGCTGAAGGAGATCGAAGACTCCAGGCAAAGCAAACAACACCACGAAAGTCAACCGGAGCATGAAGAGTTCACACAAGGTCATTCTGCTTCTGATCTTTCCAATCCTTGGTATGATCTTTGGTTTGCATGTGGAGGGAAAACAGAGTCTCAGGACTACACTGGGCAAGAAACTACTAGGGTTAGATATGCGTATGACGTGCCGGAGACCGGAGTTTGTGAGAGTCTTTTCGGCTACTGGCCTTGCTTGTATCGATAAGATCGAAAGACATGTAGTGAACAATGATTTCCAACATTACTATGAACTTTGAGATCATGGAACTTTTGTATGTCTCATTTGTGCATCTAACCAACACAAGCATATAACTCGTAATTTCGACTACAGTAAAGCGCTGCACAGTATATTTCTAACTTTAACTTTGTTCTCCTTTTCTTTTTACAACAACAAAATTTATGTAAGATAAACCTGTTTATAATCAGATTATATGGTCAAGCCCCATTTCATCTTCAATATCATCCCCGTCTTCAAACAGTTTTAGGAACCGAGCCTGATCTTGCTCTCTCTTCTTCTTTTGCCAGTACTTGTACACAGCAAAGCCAACGACAATACACACTGCTAAAACGGCTACAACAATTAAAAGTATTAGAACAACATGCATTCCCTTCTCCTTTTCTTCTTTGTCCGGCGCAGTGGTGGAACTTGAAGCTACAAAAACATAGTAGAAGTTGAACACTAAGAACAAAGTGGCTTGAATTCAAATACAAATGCATGCATGCCAAAAAGATCCCAAACGAAAACTTTGTACATGTTATAAATTCATTGAACTACAAACCCAGTTGTGAAAATTCCAACATTACCAAATACATTCAACCACGCTTATCAACCGAAGGTTGCTAGCCATACATTTAAATGGCTTATACTTAATGGTCTTGTTGTGCCCAGAAATGGTATCTATGTGGTAACATAATGGCCTAAGCAGGCAGTTTAAGCACAAAGGCTTTTATCATCCAAAACTATCAAACGAGGTACGAGCGAAATGAGCATGAATTTAATTCTAACCAGTTTAAGCTCAAAAGCCCTTGTCGTCCAAAACTACGAAACTATATAGGAAGCAAATGGGCTAAAAAAAAAGTTCATTGCGTAGACTCACTCACCAGGTATATCAGGTACACACTTTGGGCACCAAAACGTAATGTTGAATTCCTTGTTCTTGAACCGCACATATTTCCCATCAGAAGCATTGAAGTCAGAAGGACACAACTCCCACTCATCGAATTTGTCATCTGGTTTAAAGGTATCCGCCTCATACAATCCACATCGCTTGCACTTCTTACCCGAAAACTCTGTCAGAGGCTGAAAGCACGAAAACCAATTGTAATCCCATTAGACACCTAGCCAAATTTAGCTCAACAACAGCTATTCAGCTAAAAAAACAACTTCCGGATACAAACATACAAATATTCTCTAGAAAGATATCGTCTATGTTATGTTGCCAGACCGTCAATCAGTACCACGCTTTATTTTTACATATTCAACGATCACAATCCCACAACATTATACTCCAAACTGTAACACTGAGCGAATATAATTACTGAAATGAAATCGAAAGTGAAAATCTTTCTCACCTGCCAAGACTCTTCGCCGTTGAAATTATACCTGACGTTCTTCTCCTTCACGTCTGGAAAATTCGTCTTGTTCCCCCCTATGCATTGGAAATACACCTTCGGTTTCACAGCCTTTATCAATTCATGCGTGTTGTATATCACTATCGAATCCAGCGTCACGATCGCCGATAATATAAATCCTACATACGCAAAAGCAAATCAATTTCACACGAAACAGCGTCGCATTCGAATCCTCGCATCCTGTTTGTTTCCCGAGAAAATAACGAAAAATTACCTGGAAAGCAGCTGAGGAAAACGCAGAAGGTGAACAAATTGACCGAAACCGTAGAGCTCCGCAGCTCCCTAATCGACATGGCGAGTTTAATCGCGACTAATTTATTTTTAAAATTCAAAATTTTGGACGAAACGATGATCGGAAGAAACGCCCGCCGAGGGGGGGGGGGTGTTGTGCGCGCGACGCAGCTCCTCTCTCCTTTCCTCCCTGAGAACACAGCCGCGAGGAGCAATTTCGTCAAATTAAAAGTGCGGTGGTGGAGGTTGTGGCGGTGGTTCAACGGCGTGTTCGTTCGAATCTTATGTTGTCGTGAGCTCGAAGTTGACGAGGGAAGAGAGAAACGAAAACCAGGGTTTCACCGTGACCAGTTCGCGCTTCGCGCTATCTATACCGTTTCGGATATAAGACGGCGTTTAATTCTGGGAGGCTTGGTGCGTGAGCTCACACCACTTCTCAGATCATGCCACGTAGTGTGGGTTTTGTCCGACTGTAGTTCGCCCACGGTTTATGACAGGACCCGGATTTGGGCTTCGTATTCTCGGGTACAAAAATGGACGGGTGGGCCCATGCCTCAAAATTATTTTTACTCCGATTTTAGATAGTTTAGTTATTAACTTAAGCAAAAAATGACTCTCGTTCAATCCAACGCTTATCAATTTATCTCAATTTAATTTTCTCCAATTATGAATTAAGTAAATATGTCTCAAGATTAGCAAAACTACGTTCCGTTTAGTAGCAGTGTCTCAACTCTCCATCATATAGTATATACTATATCACATGAGCCATGTATCAACATATTGTGGTATCTCTCGAGGCAGAGAGGAGCAAGAAAATGGTTGACTCTCCCTCCTTCTAGAATAACTCTCTATATTTCTCACCAGTTCTCCATTCTTCAAAAAGATGTTCCCAAGCCTAGAAGCTTTATATGTAAATTGTAAATAGGGATGGCAACGGGGCAGATTAGGTTCGGATATGCCATCTTCATACCCAAACCTATCACGCTCCGATCCCGAAATACGTCCAGGATCGACACGTGATGCCACCGAAAACCTGTATATCTAACTTATCTCGCATGCGGGCTATGAACAAAGCACAACTCAAGTCCCAATTTCATAGTAATTTTTTATATGCTTTATGGTTTCATCTAGCATCCTCATTAGACTACCTACATACCCTAAATAAGGATCAAGCCATTCGTAGTTCACCATTTCAATAAACTCTTATCACCACTGCAAGTCATTACTTCATACATGTAAACATAGTAACCCTTATGAGACGTATAGGCACATAGCTTCAGAACGTGAATAGTCAAATTGGTTTTGGTTTCAGTGTAGCAATGCATATAGATATGTATACTTATTAAGACACCCATTTTAACATTCAAACAAAGAAAGTGATGTATAAACATGAAGCACTTAATCAAAATAGTAATCACACCGAATCGGATTTGTCAAACTATTGATATCTATACCAGCCCTAACCTTACCAACCAATATAATTTAAATACAATCATAATCAATTACTATATGCATACCCCTTTCAAATTCTATATCAAAACATAGAGCCAATATTACATGTAAAAGCAATAATCTAACTATGGTTTGATAATAATTAGCTGGACTAATTGTAGCAAATAAAATAGCTTGTTTTCTTCAAAACCAATCCTATTGGATTGTAAAAATTGAGTAAGGAAGATATGCATGTACTTTGATACACATGTAGATAAAACCACCTGCATATATTTTCTCTTTATAAGTAATGTTGATGCACAAAATCAGCGAGGACTTTGGTACAACAAAAAGTGTCAAGTTTGTGACCTTCACTAGATTGTTTCGGTCACCTAGTGATGATGATGTGTAAAGAGGTAGAGGTAGGGAAGCAAACACAAGACGTACGTGGTTTGCCCTAAGTCTGGCTACATCCACGGAGTGGAGGAGTTCTCATTAATAGTGAATGGTTTACACAAATACATAAGTTTAAGCATAATTATCATTAGTGGGTTCTAATGACTAGTTTAAGTACAATAATGACATTAGGGATTAATTGTAGGAGAATGCTCTCCTTTTATAGTTGAGGAGAGTCTTTAGCTTTTGTCCGTGGTCAATGTGGGACTCTATGAGCTTTATTCTGACGTTCACATGTGTCGCGCTGTGATTGGCCTCTTGGTTGGAGGGAAACTCTAATGCTTTGGCAAGGGTCCCTCAGCATGAGCCCCTTAGTGGGTCCTTGAAGGTATGATGTTGATCGGTGCTCGGTAGTTTCAGGATTGGTCATGTATGGTACAAACAGTGCTCCCTTAAGTTCCCGAGTGAGGAAAGCTTCTTGATTGGGGACTTGCAGAATCCAAGTCACTGAGCAATACGAAACTTCTAAGTACTAAAGTGTAGTTGCACATAGTAGGAGTCCCCCAAGTCTCCGGGCGAGGAGAGTTACCGAATGAGGTGCCTTGATATTCTTGAATGGTTGAAGCTTTTTCCTTTGGATACATAGCTTGAGTGGTTGAAGTTTTGTAAGTGAAACTTTTTTGTTAAACTTTATTGGTGAAGCTTTGTAGGTGAGGCTTGTAAGTTAAAGTTTTGTAGGTGAAGCTTGTATGTTGAAGCTTTTAGGTTGAAGCTTTGTAGGTGAAGTTTTGTGGTTGAAAATTTGTAGGTAAAGCTTTTAGGTTGAAGCTTTGTTGTTGAAGCTTTGTAAATGAAGCTTTTTTGAAGCACATAAATAGATTTTACCTCCACACTCTTGAAGAAGAGTGTGGAAGGCTTTTTGAATTTTTTTAGTTCAAGTTTTCAGTTGAAGCTTTTTTGAAGAGTACATAAATACATTTTGCTTCCACACTCTTGAAGAAGAGTGTGGAAGGCTTTTTTAATTTTTTTGTTAAAGCTTTCGGTTGAAGCTTTTTTGAAGAGTACATAAATAGATTTTCCTTCCACACTCTTGAAGAAGAATGTGGAAGGCTTATTGAATTTGGGTGTGGGAAGCTCTCTTCCTTAGGTTCGGTTGAAGCTTTTTTGAAGAGTACATAAATAGATTTTGCTTCCACACTCTTGAAGAAGAGTGTGGAAGGCTTATTGAATTTGGGTGTGGGAAGCTCATGCCCTTGGGTGTGAGAAGCTCTCTTCCTTAGGTGTGGGAAGCTCATGCCCTTAGGTGTGGGAAGCTCTCTTCCTTGGGTGTGGGAAACTTTTTTCCTTAGGTGTGGGAGGCTCTCTTCCTTGGGTGTGGGAAGCTGCCCTTGGGTGTGGGAAGCTTTCTTCCTTAAGTGTGGGAAGCTCATACCCTTGGGTGTGGGAAGCTATCTCCCTTAGGTGTGGGAAGCTCTTTTCCTTGGGTGTGGAAGACAATCTACATGTTGTAGTTATCTCTTATGAGTTGAAGCTTTTGTTGACCTCCATGCTTAAAGTTAATTAATAATTATTAAGCGATTGATTAGTTGACTAATAATTAATTAATTAATTAGTATTTAACAATTAATTAATTAATTAATAATTACTAAATAGTTAACTAGTAATTAATAATTAATTATTTTTTTTTTTTTTTTTTTTTTTTTGAATTTCGGTTTGTTATTTTTTTATTTTTTTGAAATTTTCCTAGCTTGTGTGGAAGTCCTAAGGCTTGACATGTGGGGCTTTTCTCATGGGTTAAGTTTGAATTTCTTTGCCCTTGTTAGACTATATAAGGAGAATGAGTTTCCACTTTTTACCTTGCCTTCATCTGCTCATTGTGTAGTGATCTTTGAAGATAGAATGCTATCTGGTTGAGAGGAGTTTCGATAGTGCTTGACGTCATTCTTCGATTAGTAGCCCTTTCTTTGGATCAAATGTATCCATTCCTATTGAACTATTTGAATTTCCATGCATTTAGCTAAGAATATGATGAACTTAGTTGAATTTCCATCATGACTTAGGAGTATTTTAGACGTCAATCCTCCATGTAGTAATAGAGGTGTGTGTTTTTGTTTGTTGTAGATGTCAGGGTCTAAAGGTTCTAGTGATGAGGGCTCATCTAGTTTTGGCTCTAGGTTCGAGCCGCCAGCGTCTTCGCTAGAGTCTTATGAATAGGAAATGTTGGGTGACCTTCATGATCAACAAACATGCATTCCATCTGATGAAGTGGCAGGTGAGGAGACTAAGTCCAGGGACATAGCCTTAGATATTGGTGCATCTACTTCCCACACGTTAGTAGTTGATGCGGGTATCCTTAATGCTATACCCATCTTTCGCTCCGAGTTTACGGCGGACCACTTAGGTAAGAACTTGCTAGATAGTAGATGCCAGCTTGAGGCCTTAAGGAAGTCTTATTGTATACCCAACATCGTAGGGATGCGCTTGATGTGCGACAAAGAATTACCTACTGATCCGCCTAAGGGTCATGTCATGTTCTATACCCAAATATTAGAGAAGTTGGAGGTAAAGTTGCCTTTGCATCCGTGGTTGCAAAAGATGATTGCCTTCATGGGGTACGCGCCTGGACAACTCAATCCCGGTCTATAGGAGACTTTGATTGGGACATACATCATCTGGATGGAGTGTGGTCTAGGTGAGGCTTCCTTTGCTTAATGACTGTATTGCTATAAGATGCATTCGGCCAAGTCGTCCACGGGCTATGTTGAGTGTGCATGTCGGAGTGAGAAGGAGCGTATAGTATTTGGTAAGAGGAAAACTTATTCTACTTGGAGAAACCATTAGTGCTTCATATACAAGGGTTGGGAGCATGATAGAAGTACCATGCCTGAATGGTGCATTTTAACCCACTTCTAGACCGTAAGTTGTAATGCATCCATTGTTTGCATACTTTGTTATTTGTTGTGATCTTTATTTGCTTCTAACACTTTGCCTTATGTAGTGTCGAAGAAAGCTATCAGATTGTCTGGACAAGAGCTTGCTGATGTAGAGAAAGTGTTGAGGGTGCCAAAAGAAGATAGACGCTTGAGCAAGCTACGACCCTTGTTTCAAAAGTACGGTTTTCCAACCCTTATTGTCCGAGTGCCAGAGATGAACGAGTAAGTCATATTCTATGTTTGCCCCCCCCTTTTTTTTTTTTTTAATATAAAGTTGTATTCCTTACTTTGATTTTCCTTGTTCAGTGGAGAATGTGAGCAAGGAAGGGGAGGCTAGCACCAAAAAATGGAAAAAAACCATGGTAGTTCTCGTAGACGACATCTTGTTTCATAAGGGAGCTTGCAAGCATAGGATGAAGCTAATCCATAGGCCTAAGTCTTAAGAGGAGGTCCTCAAGATTGCCGTCTCCAAGAGAGCCGAAGCTGAGGCCATTGGATGTGATGCTGCCATAGTTGCAGGAGAGGAGAGGTAATTGTTGCTTCCTTTTCCTAACATCGATCCCATTTTTCCTCCCGTTATGGAGCATACTGGCCAGGAAGGTGACCTTGACTCCA